ACATACATACATACATGCATGCATACATACATACATACATACATACATACACACACACATACATTCATACATACATGCATGCATGCATGCATGCATGCATGCATACATACATACATCTGCATCTTCATCCACATCTACATATGCACAAACATGTACATGTACATGTCATCTACATCTACATCTACATCTACACACATGCATGCATGCATGCATGCATGCATGCATGCATACATGCCTGCATACATGCATGCAGACAGACAGACAGACAGACAGACAGACAGCAAGGCAGGCAGGCAGGCAGTCGGGCAGGCACACAGGCAGACAGAGAGACTGACAAAGGCACGATTGTGTTTTCACGCTTGGTATGCCGTTGCGCTTGATCTTGGTAAACCCTGCATTCAACTAGTGCAAACTGTCAGTATCATACAGTCGGTCAGACATACATGACTCCCAACTCGAACTGGGAACTTCTAGGTCGCGTACGCCTGCAAACATACTCTACAGACTTCGTATGTATGTAAACACGTACGAAATTCTACAATGACTGGCTTCAGCGGTCATTTGATCTTGACATCCGGGTACGGTCGCATCCGGGTACAGTCGCATTTAAAGTATTTTCCGTAACGACTGGGAAGGGCTCCAGCAATGTTTAGCCTAAGCCACGTCCACGGGAGTAAAGTTGCTTCTGCATGCTCTGCCAGTACTGGCGCTCCAACTCCTGGAGGGCAAATTCGAAGCATCCGAGCCACGCTATGGCATCCCACCCCGGAGGCCTGTGTCACCGGTCCTGGCTTGACCTACACGGACAGACCGCTCTGTTAAACCACGCTCATACAAACAGATATTCAAACAAACACGGCCACAACAACGATAACCATGACAAGGACTGCAAATCGCCGCAACACTTGCGATACCTTGCCTTGCTCGGTTGCGCCGAGCTGGATTTCTGGTCCTGCGTGGCACTGCCGGCTATAGATATGGCAGTGGCAGACAGGCGAAGGTTTGTCCACTGCACTTATTCAGGCGTATTCCCTGCGCATTACAGCCACGAGTCCTTCTCAGCCCCCATGAGGCGTAGGAATTTCGCTTTGTCAGCAGAAGAGTCGAAAGAACTCTGCTCCCATGACGTCCTCCGCTGACGAGACTGCACGTCTTGGCAAGCTTTGTCTCATCGGCTTGACCCCAGCATGTGATCATGGGAAGACCAAAACTCGATCACAACATCACGCCTTTCCCAGGCATTCTCCCCTGGTGCCGAAACCAGCTTGCTGGGCTCATCCTCAGACTCTCCAGACTCCTGAAGCAAGAATTGCGCCAGATTGAGAATTGAGGCTTGCGAGCTCGGTATCATGGACATGTAATCCACCTGCCTCGCTGCAGGCTTTGGGCTTGGGCTCTTCGCACTTTCTGGTTGCAAAGAGTGCCTGCGCACAGACACCTACTTCAACAATCGATTCAAGCCCGCACTCAAGAACAGTTGTCCGACACTCGACACGAGGCTGCAAACACACAACCGCGCATGCATGCATGCATGCATGCATGCATGCATGCACTGCCATACATTGCCATAAGATCATACAGTACATTTCAATACATACAATACATACATGCATACACACATACATACACACCCACATATATACATATCACACACAGTGTCTGCAAATGCATGTCTCTCAACATGTCACGGAACGAGTGCACACTCACACCTTGCGATTTTCTCGCTGCTGCTTGCGCTTCTCTTCCCCTGCAGTCCTGTTTGGGGTCCTGCAAGCCGGCTGCTGGATGATGCCCGGGCAGTGGATGCAAAGCACGTCTCTCCTGGACCTCGCTCGTCGTCGAGGACGCTCCGAATCATAATTGAAAGCAATGCCCTGCTTTTGGTTCCTGCTCCACGGCGCAGCGCTCTGCCCAGATTTGTCAGAACGATCCCGGCGCATCTGTCCTCTCCGTCCAATCTTCGGCCGAGCTCATGGCCGTCAGGAATGGGCACGTTGTGACTGGCAGAAACAGGCAAGGCATGATAATTACTATCAGAGTCCATCAGATTATCATGTTGTTGGCACCTGTGAGCTGCAAGTCTATCTATGCAGTACACACGCATTGGTGATGCAAGTCGGCTTGATGCGCTGCGGGGCGTGTTGTGCAAACAGAAGTCAGGCGTACTTACCACTAGAGTCCTCCGGCTTCGGCGGCTCTGCAAATGGAAAGACTACATCTGCGTACACGCTTCGCAGGAGGTCTGAGACAAGGCCATCATCAGAGCAAGGCAGCGATCGACACAGCTACACAGCTGAAGTTGGCAGTTGCAATGTTGGCAGCAGGGCATACTTCACGAAAGCTTGCAGGCGATCGGCAGGTTTTCAGTCACTGGGATAGTCTGGGCTGCGACATGCCTCGCCTCTGATTGTCACTGTTCACGATCCCCGACACGAGAACAACAGCCGCATGGGCTCTGCTTGATCAGTGCTGGCCCGGAGCTCAATGAAAACGGTCGCTGGTTAGTAATCTAAGACTCAACCACATGTTTAGCTGGTGTGCTTGAACTAAGTCACAGCATCGGTCTCTCTGGCCCCTCACACAACTCAACATCTCACAGGAGCCTGAGTCCTGCCGCGAATACAGTTCTGTACATGTGGCCTTCTGCGAGTTATGCTGAGACTCGATGGCTCAGGACCCTTAAATCAGACTTGGGTGGAAAATTGAGTCCAGGAGCCTTTCGCGCGAATGTGCGAGACATGAGACACATGTCTCGAAGAGAAACAGCCGTAAACTTCCCCAAACAACAGTTCAAGACAACCGACAGGCTGCTGGTGCCACCGATCCGAATCAGCGCATGATGCCGGGCCAGTCCAGGGACAAGTACACGTCTGCGTCTGGCTCCTCAGGAGTTGGGCTTCTGAGTGTTTTGCAAGTACCGGCCGTGCTCGCGAGGTACCAGTGGTTTCGATCTTGTGACAGACTCGCGCGATGCTGGAATACTTGCCAGGGCGAACGTTCGCTTCTTCGTTCGAGGCTCTATGCGGTTGCGTGCTCCTTCTCAACTATTGGCTGCTTCCAGATGACTGCACGACCAGTAGTGCAGTGCACATGAGTCGACTCCAAGTGTCACCCATCTGTGAGATCATGACGTGTGAAGTGTGCTTCAGGCTCTACTCTTGACATGCCACGATGCCTTCATACGTTCCAAGCATGATCCCCTGCCCGCACTTGAAGCTCGGAAGAGCTGGGCAGGAGCATGTGGGCTTAGCGCTGCAGCCGAGGAGCACCGGAGTAGCTGAAGGAGGGCGGCGACTTCTCGATCTCCTCCGCCAAGTCGATGAGTTCTCCCTCTCTTCCTTCATGCCTTGGGAAGGACTTCCACCACCACTTTCATCATGAGCTCTCTCCCGCAAGCGTCTCACACCAGCCAAGGCACAGGTATTTGATCTTAGATGCACGGACGACAATATTGATGCAAGAGATTGCATGATTGATAGCGTCAAGGACCGACTGCATCACTGCAAACCTGCAAATAGAGTGCAATTGGGAGACTTGCAGCAGGAACTGCATCTTCTTTGTCAACTTGGGCTGCTTCTCCCCCTCGACAAACTCGAAGACGGAGGCCTTCATGCTGCAAACTTGCCAAGGTTCACACAGCTTTGCAGAATGCTCTTCGGTCCTCTCTTCACCCCCCACCCCGCCTTTTGCCGGATCTCTTCGTCAGTCATTCCCCTCTCCCTCAACTCCTGCATCAATTTCAACTCAATCATGATGCTCGTGCTGGCAACATCAAGCATGCTTGTCGGCAATAGCCACAGCCATGGTAGATTCAGCAAGCAACGGTCATTCATGAGGATCTTCTCGGCATATGCGAAGCGCATCTGTCAACGCGGTTGCCACAACGAGACATCCGTGCCGAGTCCAACTTCACAAGCAGTTTGAAGGACCTCTCTTTCGGCTAGTTTGTAGTCATAGGGGTTCCTGAGTCAAGCAAACTCCGCATCAGCTCCCATGAACTGACTGAAGAAGAATGCCAACGGTAAGTGCTGGCATGTCAGCGGACTTCCCGACCGAGTCACCAGTTCGGATTCTCCTTGTATCCAAACTCTGTCATGTAGCCTTCCTTCTGCCACCACCACCTAAAGTGCTGGAAACACCGAGGGGAATCAAATCGCTTCTCTCTCTGGAACAAGATCCGAAAGTGACGACAGGCGACTTGTTCATCATGGAGTCCTTCCACTCGTCCGAGCCTCTGATAACCTCCTTGTGGGATCCTGTCACGGAGATCCGCCTGTCAAAACTTTTCCAGGCATCTCCAAACCGTACCAAGGAAACAAAAAGGACGCGCCTGGCGGACAAAGCAGGCTCACGTGTTGCCGGACTGACACCAACAAAGTCCAGCGTCTTCTGAACGCCTGTGCAATCACACGCACGATCCAGGCATGAACTCCCCGCGACAACGTGCCGAGGCGGTTGCTGCATGCCAGCCATGCGGCGGCTGCAAGTGCAAGGAGCACCGGACCTTGGCTTGCAGACAACCCGCAGAAACAGGTCTGCGCAGCCATAAAGCAAAGCAGCGTTTGTAGACGCTACCCTTCGACATCATCAACACAAAGCGAACTGAAGAGCAGCCTGTGTGCTCGAGCCAAAAGAGGCAAAGCAAAATCGAGCGCACCTGGACCTGTACCTTGCTCCTGAAGTATCAGAAGGCTTGGTCTCAGGATGTCTGCAAATGCAGATTTTCTAGGTATGCGCAACGGCTTTGCTCTCTCCCTTTGGAGACCGAGAAGAGGCCTTGCGATCTAAGCCGGGATAGTTGAGAATCCTGGCCGCACCTATCGCTACTGTTAGCTTGTTTCCTAGGCACGTTATCTCATGAAGGCTGCACTGTACCAGGCTTGCTGCTCACGCTGATCGATCTGAACTCGTCCTGGCTTTGCATCTCAAGTACATTTGACATCAAGACGGCACTCTGCAAACGCTGGGCCTCTGTCATCAATGGAGCAGTGTCATCTTCAAGCTCTACTGATGGTGGCGGGGGAGGCTCTTTCCCATCCTGAGGCAGAGCTCGCCACAGAGAGTCACACCTCGACTTTGACCACGCCGCACATTCCCTCTTCCATTGCCAACTCTCAGGTAACCCAACCATACCCAACCTACAACCGGAGGAATCCTGGGCTGCGATCCCGTGTGCTGGGCAGAGGAGGCGTGGAAGAAGGGGCGGTCTATCGCAGTCCGTAACAAGCTTGGTTCAGGATTCGGGAAGGCCCGGAAACCACTCCATGCCGCGTGTGTCGCGGCGTTTTCCCTTACGAGACCTGAGCAAATCCCGGAATGTGCATGTGTGTGTGTGTGCCAGCAACGAGGGTTGACCCTCCCCGAGTCATTCAAAAATTTCTCCAGAGCCCTTCCAACAGCCTCGCCTAGGCTGCAGTTGGAATGCTTGCATGCGTTCGTGTTTTAGGTGCACCAGCACTTCGTCACAGTGAGTCAAGGCCTGCCTCCAGGACACCGCACTGGACGATTCTGATAGGCACAGCTGGGCGGCCGACCTGAGTGCTCGCTTCCAAAGTAGCAGGGCCAAGATTCCACCAACGCGTATTCATTGCTGGCGAGGAACTCTGGTCCCCAGTTCACCGATCTCCCTCACCACCCGCATGCCTTTCGAGGTATCATCTAAATCCCTTGCTGGGAAACGTCTTCAACAGTTCATGAACTGCCTTTCATGACCGTGCCGAAGCAAACGTGATGGTTTGTGAAGGCTCTCTGTTGCCTTGGTGGAGAGGCAGGTGAGCAACCATAAACTTAGGGCCAGCAGCGGCATGAAAAAGACCGTGGCGATAAGGTAATCATCCAAATGGAGGAGTTGGTGTTCTTGCCCCAATTGCACATTGCCTTGAATGCCGAACGGTTTTGATGTTGGCGACTGACACAACCGGAAGTCGCGTACTAAATCACCATCACGCAGGAAACTGATCTCGAAGTTCTCGTCTGGAAACGCCTTCACAAAGTGACTTCCGTCTCCACTGAGCGCATGACGCACGATGCTAGAGATGAAGGTGTGCCTCTCCGTATATACTCAATCCACGGGTTCTTCCCGTGCCGTCCAAGACATCACCACCTGTCAGAAGGGGTGGGCCGTGATTCGGGCTGTCACCTCTTCAGCCGTCACCTGCTATGGCACAGCCCGACTTGATCAAGTGGATGTTCGTGTTCTGGTAACCTGGGGCGAAAGGACAAAAGTCCCGGGCTCGGCTCCAGGCTTTGTGTCACCGCTGCAAAGGACAGAGCCAATGATGCGCTCCTTGATTCGGTAGCCTTTGCCTCAGCACATTCTAAAGCCTGCAGCCTGTTGCGTTAGCATGCTACTTCGCGCCGGGCACAGCTGAACGAAGTTCTCACATGTCAAAGGGACCTCGGGACGTGCTCCATAAAAACATTAACGCCCAGCTGCCGGCACCAGAAAACTCAAGAGTCTGAGAAATGCACGGTGTCCGAGTACAAGCCCACGATGATGCGCCCGGCATAGCGATTGCCGATGCCGATGTCCAGGTAGCACCTTGCAAGAAAGTGAGACTTCTCCCCGAAAACCAGCTGAGTGGCACGCCTGTCCCTGACCAGCTTCTCGTATGTCCTTATTGTGTCAATCTTGGCCCAGGTTTGCTAGCGATTCAAGATTCTGACATAGCGCTACCTTTTTCTCTGCATGCGGCAAGCTCCTGGCCATGCAAGGTTGTCTTGCTGCCACAGCACTCTAGAACCTGAGGACAGCTTTGGACTTTAAAAATATGCCTCGTCAGCATGCCCGAAACCTGTTGCGATGTTGCGAGCTCCGCTGGCTCGCTTCTGCTGGAGGTCGAAAGTTGGGCCCCCTCACTTCGATTCGTCACCACCGAATCTCGACGCCACTTGGAAGCCAAACAAGGCAAAGAAGAGCCATCCAGCGAATGACGTGTACACCCATTGATTTTCCTGCCCGATGTCTCAGGCTCACACTCAAAGTCGCACTAGGTTGCACCATCAGCTGAAAAGCCAGTCACACACGTGGGCCATGAGTCCTCATCAAAAGCGGAATAGCTGCCTTTGTACGGCGAGTAATCCTTGGATAACTCATCCGCCTCTATTCCTCCCCTCCCTCCCCTCCCTCCCCTCCCCCTCCTGCCTCTCCTCCCTCTCCTCCCTCTCCTCCACTTTCTTCTCTTATGTGAGTCTAAGGGTTGCATCTCTTCCTTCCTTCCTTTCGGGGGCGTAGGAGGGCTCTTCTTGTTTCAGAGGCGGTTAGAGTGCGTCAGCTCTCCCTCTGCCTCTCTGTTCTTCTCCAAGCAATTGGGGACGGCCCTGTCTCCCGTCACCCAAACTCACAGCACAACTCATGTTCGTTCTCTCTCCCTGCAGCCCAGTTAGCCACTCACCCACCCACCGATCCCTCGCTCTCTCCCGCTGTCTCCTGCTTGCCTGCTTGCCTGCCTACCTGCCTGTGTACTTGCTTGCATGCTTGCCTGCTTGCCTCCTGTCTGTCCGTCTCTCTGTCGCTTCCTCTCCCCCTGTCTGCAATCTAAATATGTGCAGCTTCACAGCCTGCGCTTTTGCAGCGACTTCGCCGACAAGCCAGCCCGCCGTACCCAAAGAAACCGGGACGTGTCCTGCGTATGTCCTTGCAAAGGCCGTGGAGACCTGCGAACACTCTGTACCGCACCTTCTCAGGACGAAGTCCTCGTCGGCGTTTCCTTCCACGCTGGAAGGAAACCGGGTGAGCAAATCTTCAGGCCTGCGATCCAAACTGCCTCACAATTCGAGATGTTGAGAAAAAACACTGCAACGACGCACCCCGAATGATAGAAGAAAACACTCGAGTTTCGACAACAACAAACCGGCTTTCAGCTCTTCACAGAACACAACCATTCACAAGAACGGCCGGTAAGCCGAAAAGCAGTATCTCAGCATCCCCCCATCAAGCTTGGCACGACGCTGACACGTGGCCACGCACGGCACATGATGATGACCGCTAATGCATGTTTCAATTTTGTGTACGTTGGGCTGGAGCAAAGCTTCTCGAAGACCGCCACAAGTGGCGATTCTACAGCACACAAAAAGTGACTGTTGAGCCTGGCAACAACCAAAGCAAATATCCGGCCGGTCTTGGAACCCATTGCGACGACGGTGCGAAAAAAAACTACCGGTCGCCAATAACTTGCAAACGCTGCGGAATATGCCAGGGTGATGCATACTACAAGCTGTCCGGCTCCGCTTCTGGACTCAGATGCCTGGGCACGTGGCTTTGCTTGTCGCTGCGTGTCGTAATGGTCCTGGGCTGGTGGTCTGAAAAAACGCATCTTATGTCACAAGCTTAGCACGTTGCTTCCGTTGCGGCCACGATACGTAAATAAAGTAAGCTGGGATGCAACCACCGATCCCAACAGCAGCCTGGCGTAAGTTGCCAAGCAACATGTGGCTTTGCAACACGCAGCAACATAAAACCGTGAGTCCTGCACAAAGCCCGTAATGTGTCGGAGCAACGGGCCCAACCCATCTAAATTGATTGGCAGTTGACCTGAAGGCGGCAATTGGCTTGGTGGGGCAATGCTTCTTGCGCTCATTCGACCAAGCTCCATGCCCAACTTGGCGAGCTGCATTGGCAAACATGGCAAAGGTGATTCTCAACACTTTGCGAAAATTGGCAAGGCCATGCTGAGAATTGCGCGGTGTATGTAACATTCTGACAGTGCCGCAATGGACCCTTGCAGATCAGTTCTGTTTAAGCAGCCACTGAACAACATCTACACGGCTGCTCAACTCATCTCTACACATTAAGTCTAAGTGGCTCAAAGCTTCAATTGCAAAGAGCAGCGAGGCGGCCGAGATCTTCTTAACGGTGTGGACTTTTTTTGCTTTCAACTGGTCCAAAAATTGCCACTTCTATGGTCCGATGTCCACGCATCATGCATCATGCAAGCATCGAATGCATTCCACTGGTTTTCAAAAGTCGCAGTAGCAAAAACACGTGAAGACTAGCGTGTTATGTTCCACTGCATGGAAACCACATACCGCGAAGCATGATGTCTTGAAGCATTCCCAAGCTTATGTACCAGTCTTGCAACCCCCAAACCCTAACCCAAGAAAACTGTCCAAGAGAACAGCCTGTGTAATAGAACACCCGGTGAAACAACACCCTGTTTAACAGAAGATCCCGTGCAACAGAAGACCGAGTCTAACACAACAGCCTGTTAAACAGAAGACTTTTGTCCAACGAAAAACCCATGCAACAAACACAACGACCGGAACTCATGAATATGTCTACACAAAAATGTGCACATTTTTTGTGTTTTTGCGTAAATAGTTATATTTACACAGATGATGCACAAAGTACATACGCGGTGCCTATACATATATACAGACGTTATCAGATGTGTGTATATACTGTAGGCATGTAAATAAAGAATGTATACAATGTGTAGATACATGTATAGTAACTTAAGATAATACAGTAATAATAATACATGCATACGCATGCCTATCATACACATTACCGAAAATGCTGCACCCTGGTGTGGTGCAAATGGACCGAGTGCAATGTCCTCGGATGTTGCCAAAATACGCTTTGAGTGTTGGCAGGATCTACTTGCATGCAACTTCAAAATTTGTTTATGGATGCTGTGTAGCTGTGGAAGCAAAGTTGGCAATTTCAAAAAATGTGAATGTTTCTTGTTAACTGCAAAGCAAGAAACGATAAACAGTCCAAGAGTCTGTAGCGATCAACTTGTAAGCCCAATGGCAGCGAACATAGTGCTTGAGATGCATCACAAAAAACCACATAGGGGTGATTAAGACTGTCTCAACTGCAGATTCTTTTTTGTCCAGAAGCACGAAAGACCCTTCTTCAATGTTCACTTTAGACTTGTGTTTTTTGGGGTTTTCAGCAATTTGTGTGGTTCTTCTTCTTGCATCTTTTTTCGTTTACCCAAGTAAATTTCTGCTTCTGCAGACCGATTCTATTTGACTCTGTTTCTCCCGACAACAAATTCGAGTGGCTTCTCCATCTTGTGTTTGAAGAAGAAGTTCAATTAAATCTCACAATGACAAACTTTTCAAGACTCCGCATCATTCGTTTTCAGCAAGGCCGATGGTGCCATTGCGTGGGCAAGCAAAATGCAATCGCCGCTCTTCGCCCAGCCGGCATTCGTTCCTGCAGGCTGCCTGGAGCGCACTGTATCCTCGCTCGCACTGTGGCGCTGCTCTAGGAAAGGGCGCAAATTGAATGACGAACACTTGAAGGCGCGAAGCACTCTGCTTGCATTTCCCAGAATGAAACATCGCAACAACAGCAACAGCCACCGCAACACCAACAATAACAGCAATTTCAAGTGAACGCTGCACGAGCGTGCTCTACGCTTGGCAGGCAAGCTAACTTTATGCTCAGGTTTGAGTGTTGAAGACGTCTGATCTACGGTATACTAATAGGCTCTTGACACAAGCACAGAGAAGGGTCTCGGACCCCACGTCCCGCGCAAAACTTGTGCAGTGCTTTGCCACACGTTCGAAGGGTAGGACTGGGTTTTAACTTCCGCATTGCCGTGCCCGACTTTGTTAATTTTCACAGCGCCTTTGACCCAGGTCAGGTATTTCTAGCTGGCCCCACCCCGCAAGTTTTTTCCAACCAACCTCCATGGCAAAGAGTGACAAATGGTGAGTGCAGCTCCTTCCTGCAGCCAGAAGGCCGTAGCGCCGTCGCCACCCAAGAAGCAGAAAACACAAGATGAAGAAGATCTGTCCGAATTTGAGGGCAAGCTTATTGACCTGGATATCAACTTTGCGTACGTGGAAAAGGAATTGCAAACAAGATGCGTAGCAGCAAGAGCTGGAGGATTGATTTTTTGGCTATCCATAGCACGGACAGGTGCTACAACCCGGAGGATGGCACCTGGATGCCGCACTCCACAACAAAGAAGCGCAAATTTGGAGCAATACGGGACGCAAAGTCCCAGAAATTGCAATGTACAGGAGGCCATGATGAAGTATCACGAAAAATGTATTCTGCCAAGCTTGGATCATTGAGATTTATGATCGCCGGGTTCCGGAACGCCCACAAATTGCGACAAGCAGAAACAAAGCACAGACAATGTAATCAAAAAAGCGATCCGGGTGCGTCGCTTGCCTCTTGATCAAAGCAAGAAAAAGCAAAGGTCAAAACACACCAAAACAAAATTAGCGACCAAAAAGGCACATAGAAAGCACCAAACAACCAATAATCACTGTTTTGTTGATTCAACCTCAATTCAATAAAGTTCATGAGAAAGCAAAACAAACTGAGTGAGTGAGTGAGTGAGTGAGTGAGTGAGTGAGTGAGTGAGTGTGTGTCGCCTGTTGGCAAAAGGACGGGCACCCGCGTTCCCTCCACTCTGAAAAGGGACAAAGACGCAAACGGCTCCGAAAACGTCATGGCTCCAAGCGCGGCAGAGCCAGCAAACGGCATGTCTAACATGATGTCTCATGAAGGCACCAAGCTGGGGGCGCCGACACGAAGCAGAGACTCCCAACACATATCTGGCCGCCACTCTAGTCCCGTCGAAGTGGACAGCCCTCTTGGTTGGCTCTGTTCTCCAATTGCTGTGGGAAGCGGTTCTAACTCAACTCCAACCCAAAGTTGCGACGTTGGGCTCAGGTTCAACTCAACTCTAACCTCAAGTTGGGGTTCAGTTTATTTCAATCCAACCTGGAGTTGCCGAATCTAACGTTGCGTTCAATTTCAACTCAACTCTGAAGGTTGGGGTTGGGTTTATCTCAACCCTAACCCGGATTTGCGACGTTAGGGTGCAAGTTCAACCAACTCTAACTTCAAGTTGGGGTTTGGTTCATCTCAACCCCAACTAGATTTGCCGACTAACGTCAGAATTCAGGTTCAAATCAACTCTAACCACAGGTTTGGTTAGGCTTAAGTTAACGCCAACCCGGAGTTGCGACGTTTGGGTTCAAGTTCAACTCGCCGCGGATCTGATGGTGGAGGCGCTTGCCTGCACAGGTTAGTAAGTGGTCGCAGCTCTGCTTCTGGGGAACGCTTGCCTGCGCAGGTGAGCGTTCCGACGGGCCTAAACCCTGCAACCCACCAAATCTCAAGACCGCCCTGAACCCTAAACCCTACAACCCGCCAAAATCTCAAGACCCATCCTAAACCCTAAACCATACAACTCGCCAAAATCTCAAGACCCATCCTAAACCCTAAACCCTACAACACACCAAATCTCAAGACCACCCTAAACCCTAAACCAACCCATCAAAACCTCAAAACCACCCTAAACCCTAAACCCTACAACTCGCCAAAATCTCAAGACCCATCCTAAACCCTAAACCCAACAACCCGCCAAAATCTCAAGACCCAAACCCTAAACCTTGAACACACCAAAATCTCAAAACCATCCTAAACTCCAAACCCTACAACACACCAAAATCTCAAGACCCACCCTTAACCTCAAACCCTACACACCAAAATCTCAAAACCACCCTAAACCTCAAACCCTACTATCCACCAAAATTTCAAGACCACTCTAACCCAAACCCTTCAACCAGCCAAAATCTCAAGACCACCTCAATTCTGAAACAGACTTTGATGCATCTTTGCTCTTGCATCCACCCGTCGGAAATGAAGCTACCAACTGGTTAACGTGCACGTGTACAACTCTGCAAGTGACAGTCCAGAGTCCAACCACTGGTTGTCTTTATTGTCCCGTTGTTTGAACCAAACAAGGCGGGAAGAGAGCTTTAGAAGTGACGATGGCACAAAGTAATTGAAGTGACATGTGCAGTACATTCCCCTAACCCTCTTCCCGGACTCATCATCATGCCACAGGCAAAGGAAAGAAAAGGCGGGGTTCGACTGCCTCCCGTTCGACGGTTGAAAACGTCTGCAGCAGGGCCAAATGAAAGTGGTGTGGGTTCTCTAACAGAAGCCGCCACAGTGTCTCGCTTGGCTTGACTCTTGTGTGATTTGTCGCACATTGACTTTTTAGGGAAAAACGTTGCTGCGTGCTTGCTTCTCACTTTTTAACCAAGCCATACACCCAATTCCGAACGCACAAGCATCTTCTGTTGGTCCGCTTCTGTTTTCTTGCTTGACCGAGCAGAGAGCATAGGTTCTTGGAGTGTCCATATTAATCAAAAATATAGTGTCAAAAATGTAGTCGTAACATGTCGGAACCATTCTGACTTTTGCTGATTTGGACTTGATGTCTAAAACTTCTCAAATATCACTTAGAGCGTTTTGTGGCATTTGGTGCCAATTTAGCCGCGCAACAGTAGTTTACTATGCAGACTAGAGGGTTCAGGGTTTAGAGGTTTTGGG